CCCCAAAACCCCAAAACCCCGTCAGTAATTTTTTATAAATCACAAGGATTCATAATAAATCTGAATGCACAAATAAAATTATCTAATTCTATTTTCACTATAAAATCTTTCTTTATCTTTTTAATGATCCAAATGAATCTAGTTCTTAATCAGAGAGCATAATCTCATCCTCAAGTTCTTTCAAATTAAATTCATCCTTAGAACCTTCTAAGTTATTTTGGTTTTTATCTCCATCAATAAATTAACGATTACTCTCACTCAAATCTTTCTTAGGTGAGATATCTTCATCCAAAAAGCTATCTATGTCATTTATTCTAAATTACAACTTTTATTACGTATCTTTTCGATTAAATTCAAAATTCTATTATGATCTGGCATCAAAAGCATCGTTATTCCATTCAGAGGCTATCATCTAGGTCCTCATTTTAGAAATTTAATTTGATATTGGTTGACTTATCTTGAGTTCTGTTTTAGCTTAACCTGAAATTTATTAAAAGAAATTTATTCTTTTCGGACCATAATGAGAGTTTGCAGAAGGTGGTTGTTATGTGAGTAAAATTTGCGTATTTTATGAACTACTAATTTTATCTGGATTTGTCAGTCGATTAATTATCATATTTTAATAAGTGGTAAAGAATTCTGCTTTCTTTTTTTATTTTAGTTTTTTCACAAAAACTCCTTTTAGTAATCTTTAATCAATGTCTTTTAGTTCTTTCTAATTTGTAAACTCATAAATCGAAGATCTAACTTTATTTTTTGTTTAAATTTAAATAGCATAGTTTTTACTTTCAATTAGCTTCAAATTATCTTGATCATTTCTATCACTATCTGATGAAGTAGAATCAGAATCAATTAACATTTTCCTTTAAAACTTCATAAGCAGTTTTTGGTTTTCATTAAGAAATACTTGTTAAAAGAGCTTTAATGTTCTTATCGATTTCAGTAAAGTTACACAATCAAGTTCTTCTAGTAATTTTTCTTAACCTTTGTCAAATAAAGCATGCTTTCTTAGTTTTTAGTTGAGCATCATACTTTTATATTTGAGGCAGCATGCAAATCTTAGCAGATACGAAAGAATATCTTTGAAGCTATATTTAAATCTTAGTCTTCCAAATATTTATTCAACTATTTAGTCTTTTTCCTTTTATTCTAATTACCCGAATTTGCTAACATAGTATTCTCCTTGGGAATCTCTACTCTCCTTTTGAATCATTTTTTTCAATCTAAATTCAGATTTCCTAACTTTAAAAGCCTTCGTATTTTTACTTGATTGCTGACTTTACGTTTCAGAAGTTACCGAGACGGTTTTATGACTGCTATTTTAAATCTTTTTATTTTGATCATTTTCTTCATCAGAATAAAATGATCTCTTCTCATCTTGATCTTCCGTACCATTTGTTGTTTTCTCTACTTGGTAAATGTGCTTCAAAAGCGATGATAAAAATAATCTCTCTTAAATGAAACCTACCAAGAGCATTCCAATCAGTAATAAGGATTCTTTAAATCCTCCAACATCTCCCAGTAAATCTCCAATGCCATAAACTCTACAAAAATGGTAAAATAAAATATACCTTCGCTCATAAATGTCAAAAGCCTTATCTATTCTGAAATAAAATACAGCTAATTCATCACTTATAGCATCTAGCGTATCTTGAAATTCTCTGATATTTTCAACCTTTAAAATTAAATTATTATAATCACAGCCTCACCTGGAAAAATTGTAATTCTTAATCGGAAAAAGATAATATCTCATCTTAAAGCTAAGCATTATTAGGTTAAAGGTAAACATTTGCACCCTTCCATGTTTCAGGCTCTATCTCAAAATATAAGGAGTCATCTATGAATTATTAGACTGGCTAAGTAAAATTGTTAAAATCAAAGTAGGAGTTAACCATTGCCAGACTAAACTTTTAACTTTAGAAATAATTTTTTATTGATTCAGGCGAGGAACAGCTGTTATTAGCTCAAAGATAATCACATCTCTTTAGCTTTAGCTCAATGTATTTGAATTGAGCAGAGTAGTAGTTCCCTCTTACCATGAAATCTTTCTAAACAGGACAGTAAAATTTGTTAATTCCATAAACTCTAGTCTTTTCTTTATTCTTAAAGTTATAGTATTTATCCCCACATATGTCATATTCAATCGATTTCTTTGATTTAACACTCTCTATATTTGCAGGAATTAAATGATTAAAATTAATAAATTCTTACTATTAGTTGCTTAGTCTATATAAACTTCAACTTGATTTAAAGAAAAGTACCCTATGGATTAGTTCATTAGTCCGTTAGGACCGTTAACAGTAAATGCAAAATCAAATCCGAATTCACCAACATTATACACTTAAGCATCCTCAGAATCTAAATCAAGGAAAAAAGACTTTTTGGCAAGCTTTGTGTCACTTTTATCATTTAGGATGATGATTTTATAAATGAGGAAAGCCATCAAAGTTCCTAATATTAGAAAACTTACAGATGCTCCAACTAAACTCTTATATGTTCTTAATTCGTTTAATAGAAGTTATTTACTCTTAACCTTTGTATGTAAGTTATACTGATTTCCCATATAGATCAATCATTTAAAATCTCTTTTGAAATCTCTTGCACCTAGGCTTTGTCTTTTTTTATTATTTTACTGTAAGAAATTAATATTTTCTAGGCTTACTTTAAAATTTGATAGAGTTTTTACGATTTGAGAACCTGGATTCAGCTGAGTGAGCAGACACTTCCGAAAATTTTCTATTTAGTGATTATCTCTGCATATCTGATTTATAAAGTAAAAAACTTAATAATAATTTTGCTTCCAAATTCTTCGAATTTTCTTTCGTGGGGTTTTGGGGTTTTGGGGTTTTGGGG